AGTTTTAAACAAAATTATTCATTAAAAGCTTAATAGATACCTAAAATTATTGAGCTGTTTACAGTTTTATTATGGATTATACCAGTTGTGACCATTAACTAATTTATATTTTGTTATGGGTTTGTGGCACCGACTTCTAACCACCCAGGTGTAAAGTCCTCATCAATACAAATTAATCAAACCCAAACACAAGGTAGCTACTGTTAACCGTTGAGGAGTTCCCTCAAGTGGCTCTCGGCTCCATCATCAGATCGGCTCCAGACCTTTATCAGATTGTAGTGGTTTTCAATACTCAATGAAAAAATTAACAAATGCCCTAGTCAACCTCACCCCTATAATTTTTAAAAGTTTCCCTCGGTTTCCCTGGTCTTCCATCATCAGATCCTGATTTCCTTATTATGGGACCATTCTGGAACTATCTCCTTTCTACCAAAAAAATAATTTTCAAAATCGGTTCAAAAACAATGGATATATCGGCGAACAAACATAAAAAAAGCATACATGTATATGTATACGGTCGAATTGAGAACCTCTTCCTTTTTTTGAAGTCGGTTAAAAATAAGAATCTGTATTAGCTGATTGCAATGCCGTTTATATAACTCTTTACAATCAGACTGCTCCTTTTGCTTGCTTGAATCAATGCATGACTGAGTTCACTCTGTCCTCATCATGATCCCTGGGTACTTCGGGCGGCGGCGACAGACTCACTCGGAACACAAGCAGTGAGACAGTGTAATGGTGGACTGTAGGCGTCCGCGCGTCCTCTACTAATTGTGGTTGGCCACAACCACAACCTCCACGGGTTGGTCGCATAGTTTGGGACGAGTAGGGTGGTACTAACATAATATGTACGTTTGTAACGTAATGTTAATTTACAATGTTTAGTCTCTCAATTATTTTACTAGTATTTACGGTTTCGCAGTATCAGAGTATCACAGACTGCAGGAGGCCCGTGCCTCCCACTGGGGGGGGGGGGGGCAGTATGCAGGAGGAGGCAGGGTGGCAGGGGGGGCGCGAGGGTTCGTGTCGGCGACCGCGAGCGATGATGGATGGCGCCAATAACGAGCGACGTGAACTTCGTTATCGTGCCGCCGCGGCCGCCACAGCCGCCTTCCTCCGCGCGGCTCTCACTCTGTTCGTCCATTTCTTTCGCCTACGCATACTTCCTTTCAGTTTCATTTCGAAAATTACTCACAACACAAGCAATGATTTTTACAAGTTTACATCTTGACGTAAACTACTCGTAGTTTTCCAACTAAAATCGATACGCTGCGAGACAGTTGGTACTTTCCGTTTCGTTGGTACAAAATTATTTGAAATAAAGAAAAAGTTAGTCATTTAGTTAGCACCAGGCACTAAATTGTACATATATTCACAAATCTATTAGTTTTATATAATATTATATCTTCTCATCACGTAACCCTAGTGCGAAACAACGTAATCCTTGTCTGTGACCGACTTCCCGAGGAGGAGGAGTTCTCAATGCGGCCGGTATGTTATTTTGTTGCTTTGTTTCTATGTATGTATGTACGTACACCGATTACGCCGAGGTTTAAGGGGATTCTGATTCTTGTTTTGTTCGACGGGAAATATCTGAAATTTGGTCCCATAAAAAAACTAAAACTAAAAAAGTATGTCTGAAGTACGCAATATTCACTATGTAGAGATAAATGTTCATGTTTGGAAAACCGCAGTCACACGTTGTCACAGCCTACGGTAGACAGGTAAGTATATGTATGTAACGTGTGAATACCTGCCATACCTTTTCTTTAAAATCGCTGATTCTGGTGCAGCTAACTACTATCATTACTCCTTGAAAACATACAGTTGTCTATTGGCAGTCAAAGTTTGGTAGCTTTTCACACATCGGGTTACATTATCGAAATTTTAACACTGTTTCCTTTTTTCTTTCATTTTAACTCGTCGAGTACCGGTTTTATAGACACAATTAAAGAACAATAGGTCGCGGTCACCGGTGACCGCTTGGTGTTTGACAGTTTAAATAGAGGTATAGCTTATGTTCATCATTTATAATGTAGGATTCCAACAGTAAAATTATTTTTAAATCTGTGCGGTAGTTTCAAAGAGTATTCAATTCAAACAAACAAACAAAAAATCTAATCTTTCCTCTTTATACTATCTGTGCTATTAGTGTATGAACATGTACAATGATTTTTCTACTTAAATCAGGCTACCACCATATGTATATTGCTTGACATTTATAACAGTTGCCAACACAGTAGGTCTCAAATATTCTACTTGATAGTCCTTCAGCCAATGTTCAGTTATACACGACAATGTTCAGTTTAATTCTAATTATAATTCTTAAATTTCACGGGAGCTTTATTATTGCTCAATTTCAGCATTTAAGGTTAAGTAACTGTGAGTGATGTGATGGTGGTCAGAAAGACCCAAATATATTATTTGTGCTTAATAAAACCCTTTCGGAAATTAAGAGCCAAGTTATCAATGCTCGTACTACTGCTTAACTCGTCGAGTACCGGTTTTATAGACACAATTAAAGAACAATAGGTCGCGGTCACCGGTGACCGCTTAGTGTTTGACAGTTTAAGCTGGTGGGCCTGTAAAGTGCTAACTTTAAATAATAATATTGTGCGGTTTTATTTCTATACAACACAAGACACTCACGGAACTGACTGTTTTGATATCTCAGATATTTCTTTATATACCTACATAAAATCGTATATACAGAAATATATGTGCCCCCCCCCACTTTACATTTCTTAAAAAATAACTATTATTCATTGGCATTGTCGATACTCTAACTAAGTAAAAAGTTTAATGATGGTAGGTATCTACTTGCGTTGCCCCAAGGCAACAGGATGCCTTTCTTTTGTTATAAAAGCCGAGGGAACCCCTGGAACTGCACTCGGTTTCACTTAATCAAAAGAACGTAGTGGTGAAGTGGGCGTGTCAGACTCTACTAGGTATCTACTTGCGTTGCCTTGGGGCAACGCAAGTAGATACCTATGGACTTGGGTCCATAACGAAATTAGTTCTGTTCTAGTTCTGAGTTCGTAACTGTCAGTGTGTAGGCAGTACCACAGAACTTCTTTATGTTCTGTGGGCAGTACAATGAATAGTAATATACCTACCTACCTACTTAGTTATTTTTCGGTTTTTAGCTTTTGAAGCCTGTTTTTAAACGTAGTTTATTTTTATTCACTACTTAAATTCTCTCATCGTGAACCCGTTTTTGCTACGTTAAATAAAATTAATTTTTTTAAGATCCCGTGGCCCTCAACAAGAAACCGAATGCAAGCGGCTAAACTTGCTGTTTTATCTGATTAGCACAGTAAGAGTTCAACGAGGTTTTAATATTGTAAAAAACCGTCGCGGTTCCGTCGTAGGGCGGTCGGTGTCTTAAAACTGCGAAGTGTTACCAAATTATGGTGGGAATGAGCATGTAGTTCATAGAGAACTAGTGTCGGAGTCAGTAGCCAGTGGCATCCTCTCCAATGCGTACCTAGCTCTCCGGTTTGGGCGGATGTGTCGGTGACCGTGACCGTGACCCAGGTGGTTTTAGTTGGTTCGAGTCTGACACGCCCACTTCACCACTACGTTCTTTTGATTAAGTGAAACCGAGTGCAGTTCCAGGGGTTCCCTCGGCTTTTATAACCAAAGAAAGGCATCCTGTTTATAATTTTCGATCCGAATGATCCGCGGATACCGCACGATCTCCGGGGAGGCGGCGAACCTCCTTGCCGGATTACCGCCGTGGGATGTGGAGGCGAAGGAGCTCGCGCGCGTATTCTGCCTGCGCGCGGAGGCACGTCGCTGGGGCGAACTCCACTGCCGCGCCAGATTAGTGTGTGTTGCGCGTTCTCATGGCGGAATGGCAGCAACGACTGTCGCAACCGAGGGCTGGGCTTGCTGTTATTGCAGCGGTTAGTCCCTTCTTTGAAGAGTGGCTTGCGAGACACTACGGCGTCCTCACCTACTGCCTGATGCAGGTCCTCACCGGACATGGGAGCTTCGGGAGCTACCTGTGTCTGATGGGGCGGGAGGAAACGCCCGGGTATCATCACTACGAGGACGAACCTGAGGACACGGTGGAACACATTGTACGGGCATGCCCTACGTGGGCGGGGCACCGCCGTGCCCTCAGGGATGTGATCAGCGACGGCGACCTTCTGCGTCCAGCCCTAGTGTGGGTCATGATGCGGAGCGAGAGGGATTGGGATGCCGTGTCCTCCTTTTGCGAAGCAGTCATGCTAGCTAAGGAGGAAGCGGGGCGCATGAGGCAGCGAAGCGCTGCCTCATCACAACCCAGTCGTCGCGAAGGACATTGCGGGCCTGGAGAATCGCGGAACGATCTGCGGCCACCGTAAGCACAGGCCTGCGGACGGCGAGCATGCCGCCACCCGACCAGAACCAGACCCGAGGGTGCGCCTCAAAGAGCCATCAGACCACCACAGATGGGGCCCAATAGGGCTGATGCCAATACGGAGCCGCGGAGAACTTAATGGGTTACCGGGGCTCCGGCTCGAAGACTAGGAGTAGGAACGGGGTGGTTTTTAGTCAGTAAGAGTCTGACACTCCCTCCCGCCTCACCCAGGTGGGAGAAGTCATTCGATGATGTCCCCCCCTTAAAAAAAACCGGCTTACAATGCAGCGCATCAGAGTATTCGTGTGAAGTGCTTCATTGCACTCTGCTCTACGTTTAATTTATATATTCTGCAAATGATCACACCGATTACCTTATGGTAAACAGTCAGCACCGCCCATGGACGCAATCACGTAACACTAAAGGAATTTCAAGTGCATTAGCCATCTTTTGGATGTCAGGGAATTGAGTATAGGGGACGGGTGAGGGGAGATTGAACCCCCAGAAATATAAAAGTACCTTGCAAACGGGCTATTACTTGAGTGTCATATCTGGCGTAACTATTGTATTTAATAATCTTGAAAGACATGACTGATATGTAATACATGCAGGTAGTTTCGTTGAGCGTGTAGTAATGAGTGTTCTGTCGCAGGGATGTGTCCAACAACAACATCAGCACGCTGCCGCGCGACGCGCTGCTGCCGGCGGCGGGGCTGCGCGAGCTGTGAGTACCAGGCACCAGCCAGTCAGTACTAGTAGTTGTAGTAGAGGGCGCGAGCGTGGTGAGTGGCATGCGTTGTGTGCGCAGGAACCTGTCGTCCAACCGGCTGGAGTCGGTGTCGGCGGGCGCGCTGGGGGGCGCGGCGCTGGCGCGGCTGTGGCTGGACCGCTGCGCGCTGCGCCGCCTGCCCGGCCACGCGCTGCGCGACCTGCACCACCTGCACTTCCTGTGAGTGCCGCACCACCACTGCCACCACCATCGCCACCACCACCGCCACCATTACACCAACACGTACAAACTATAATGCGCATGTCTCGAACCTTGGTATTGTTGAGTCGCCATAATCCACTGTACCTACTTAAATATCTGGGTTCGATATTACAACACATTAAGTACACAAACCCACATTCCCGTAGTGCTCAGAATCATTTATTGTAAGTCGTTGTCTTGAGAGAAGTGCTCACTGTCGTAGCTCTGTCATTTATTTCACAAATTAGAATCAAGACCAGCGCGTTCGACACAAAGAATAAGAAATGCCCGAAAGCTTTGGCGGGAGTTAGCGGACTGTTTGACTGTGTGGATGAAGAAGCGCGGCGCTCGCGAGTCGCGCGGCCGTGGGGTTTTATACCCCGTCCCGCGCGTCGCCGCCTCTATGGTCGATGACCATTGCGTCGACACCCATCAATAACCTTTTTCCACACAGAGAATTTTATTGACGGAATAATGTCTTATTGCAAATAATTTACGACTACTGTTCACGTAAGGCGCACTTCATGCGCATGCTTTCATCGATTTTAAGGCGATTGCTTGCATTTTGCGTAGAAACAACAGTGTCCACGGTGCGGCAGCGTCACGACGTCACATCAGGCACTCATGTTATCGCATGCATTCGTCTAATGTCGCGTCGCCGGCGTCGCAGATAGTCTAATAGTTACACTGTTTTGTTTACATTAGAGTATCAGTAGTTTCAGTAGAGTTGACCAAGTGGCCAAATATTGGCAAACGTAAACATTAAAGTTGTTTGTGTCGCCAGTCTACCGCTACTAGCTACCGGCACTCCGGCACACCGCACAGAGGTCGCGCTCCGGCTGCAGGACCGCGCGTGTCCGCGCCGCGCGGCCGACAGGCGGTGCCTTGTGTGTGTGGGTGTGGGTGTGGGTGTGAGGGTGTGTGTGTGTGTGTGTGTGTGTGTGTGTGTGTGTGTGTGTGTGTGTGGGTGTGGGTGTGAGGGTGTGTGTGTGTGAGGGTGTGTGTGTGGGTGTGAGGGTGTGTGTGTGTGTGTGAGGGTGTGTGTGTGTGAGAGAGAGGGTGTGTGTGTGAGGGTGTGTGTGTGTGTGTGTGTGTGTGTGTGTGTGTGTGAGAGGGTGAGTGTGTGTGTGTGTGTGTGTGTGTGTGTGTGTGTGTGTGTGTGTGTGTGTGTGTATCGTTCCGCTAGACATTGCATCCTGCAGCTCTGCACTTCTTCTATTTCATAAAACTATTTACTTGGCAGTTTGATTAAATCTTAAGAAACGTTCTGCTAAATGTTGATAAAATAAGTATTTACCTACTTATTTAACTCGTCGAGTACCGGTTTTATAGACACAATGAAAGAGCAATAGGTCGCGGTCACCGGTGACCGCTTGGTGTTTGACAGTTTAAAGGTACTTACATAATTTTAATTAGGTATAGAAAATACTTATATCCTCGTGCAGTGACATTCTTAACATGTGGTAAAATCGTGCAATGAAGTGACAGGTGACAGGTGACAGCGATGTGGTAGGAGCGTGCGAGCCGCGCGCCGCGAGCTTTCACCCGAGACGGGGGGCGCGGGGCGCGGGGCCGGGCGGTCGAACTACTCGAGCAGGCCAGGCCGCTGGCCGCCACTCATTGCCAGGCACGTAATACGCCCGCGGCGTTTTGCGAATCTCTTGCTAAACGAATACAAGTATCGAGATACGACTATCAATACTAATGAGGGCGAGTGTCGCGCACGAGGACGGTGAAGCTCTGCGCCTAATACCTTTCAAATGTGGCTCACCGCTCCACATTGCACAAGCCCACGACACGTCCGCTCAATGCCGCCCGCTTGCCTGTGACCTACTGCACTCCGCACTGTTTAGTAACTACTCGACACTCGACACATGACGTGTACGCCACGTCACTGCGTCACTGCGCGTAGGTACTACTCACTTGTACAGCTACGGTCAGTAGATACATGACGCACGCGTCGCAGGAAGCTGAAGGCCGCGCGAGGCTCGCCAGGAAGAGGTCACTTCCGCGACCTTGTGCTATTTACATAGTGGTGCCCTCACTCGACGACATCACCTACTCGGTGTCTGCTGTGCCGGCTCCCTAGTCCCTACAGCTGTCCGTGCAGGGCAGCGCCTACTCGGTGTACACACTACTACCTCGATGGTTTACCTGTCGGTCAAGCAAGAAACGTCTTGGACTTTCTTGAATAAATAGAAATGATTTTTATTAAAAATCACGTCTATTCAATTTATGTGGTACAGATAAAAGCAGTATGTAATCTGTTTATATTTTCCTTCGATAGTGATACAAAACAACGCGCAACGTCTATACATCTAGTACTTATAGTGGTCATACAATTTTCCAGCACCATTTTTTATAAATATAATGCGTTTGATTGTCTTTAGCATAGATACAATAAGCTTCATTTTTGGGGATTTCCTCTTCATTTGCGCAAAATTAGCGGTATTTTGGGGTCTGGTCAGATTTGGACAGTACGAAAGCAATTCGGACCTCAATTCGGGCAATTTTGCCATCGATTTAATTGATCTATTCGTTATTGTTCCGATTGTGAGGTCGCGCGGTGTTCACTTTGCACCAAGCTGTCGTACATCCAAATATTTATTCCAGATAATAACCAACACATTTCTATCTTTACAATTTCAGTAGTCCTTTCCTTAGTGATATTTAATAGATTTCGCACCTTCAGCAGCTATATTTATACGTAATTATATTGCTTACATTTAATCGCCACACAAATATCAATTACTTCTTTTATTATATCTATGACTGCAGCAGCAGTAAGCCTTGAAGCACGCAGGCTGACAAGTTTCATTGCGATCCAAACTACATTAACTCGTCGAGTACCGGTTTTATAGACACAATTAAAGAACAATAGGTCGCGGTCACCGGTGACCGCTCGGTGTTTGACAGATTAAAAGTGTTGTACTGTTTCCCGTTATTTGAGAAGTGATTGCATCTGTCGTAACTGTGGCGCACTATGGTGTATATATAGTGAGATGGTGACGTGTCGGTGTGTGCAGGTCGGCGGAAGACAACTACATCGCGGAGCTGGAGGCGGGCGCGCTGTGGGGCTGCCGCGCGCTGCGCTCGCTGCGGCTGGCGCGCAACCTGCTGCGCGCGCTGCCCACGCACGCGCTGGCGCCGCTGCGGCACCTGCAGACCCTGTACGTGCTCGCCTCGACGGCCGCCCTGAAGTCCATGTGACACAACGCAGCACTAGTGAATGGCTTTCTGTGCACAGGAACCTGGCCGGCAACCTGATCACCGAGCTGAGCGACACGGCGCTGCCGCCGCTGCCGGCGCTACATACGCTGTGAGTATACACGGCGCGCGGCGCCTCTACCGCCACCATTCATTACTCTAATAACGATAGCGAAAATCATCAATCTCATCTTTAAAACTACGCAAACGCAACGGATTTTAATGTGTTTTTTTTTAATAGATAAAGTGATTCTTAAGGAAGGTTTATATGTATAATACATGCATATTGCACCCGTGCGAAGCCGGAGCGGGTCGCTAGTATACAAAATTTTGTGCAAAAGACAAACTAATTCCGGGGAAAGAGACTTTCCCCGGAATTAGTTTTTTGAGAAGAGGAAAATACCGAATGACTCTTCCTGTACGAGCTGATTGCTGATAGGCAATCACGCCGTTTACGCGATGACGATGTAGTTTACGTTACTGACACTGATACATGGACATTTATTAATTAGTTTTACAATAAACTAAATCCAGTAGTACGGACACAATACGGCGAAGTTATTTCCTGTCAAGTGTCGACATCCGCCTCCTGAACCCCAACTCTACCACCCAACATATTATAATGTTTGCACGCGCTGGCGGCTCGTACACCTCCTACTGTTGTATCCCATTTGTACCAACGTGAGAAATATTTTTCATTAAGTCGATCATAAATCCTCCTAAATACAATACATACAATGCTAAGTGTCGTGCCACACTGAAGTAACACGAATGTATGTACGCAAGTCAAATTGAACGGACTTGCTATTGGGAATATTAATTGTGGAATGCCTCAGGTAGCATAGAAGCAGCGGTCAATCAATGTACTGATAAGTTACCGACGCACTGATTACTGAGAATTCGGTGCCACGAGCCCATAACAAAATTATTAAAAGCTTTAACAAATAGTACCCATTTATTAAGCTAATAATTTCATTACAGATTATTCCTTGATCATTAACTGACACTGCGGGCAACGAAGTAGTCACCCGTATTATTATAAGAAATATAAATAATTTCTGTCACTTGTGGCATTCTGTTAGAAAGGGTATTAACCTAGGAACTTTTTAAAATAAAACTAAGATCAATATTTAGGCAAATAGTTTATTTTTTAATAATTTAGAATTGGAAAAATTTCCACGTGTGAAAGAATACAAAACTGCGTTTAAAAAAACCGACTTCAAAAACTAATGACGAACGAAAACAATGATGACCTTCACGGGTTCACACATAGATGGGGGGGAGGGGTCCCCCCCATCTAGGTGTAAAGTCCTCATCAATACAAATTAATCAAATCCAAACACCAGAAACCTACTGTAAAAACTTTAAGGAGTTCCCTCAACTATCGTACTACTTCATCATCAGATACTTATTGACAATTACATCCCACCCAGGTGTAAAGTCCTCGTCAATACAAATTAATCAAACCCAAACACAAGGTACCTACTGTTAACCTTTAAGGAGTTCCCTCAACTATCGTACTACTTCATCATCAGATACTTATTGACAATTACACCCCACCCAGGTGTAAAGTCCTCGTCAATACAAATTAATCAAACCCAAACACAAGGTAGCTACTGTTAACCGTCGAGGAGTTCCCTCGACTGGCTCTCGGCTCCATCATCAGATCGACCTTTATCAGATTGTAGTGGTTTTCAATACTTAATGAAAAAATTACCAAATGCACTAGTCGTAGCTATGATTTTTAAAAGTTTCCCCTCGGTTTCCCTGGTCTTCCATCATCAGATCCTGATTTATTTTCATATTCTTGATTTGTCATAGGACCATTCTGGGACTATCTCCTTTCGAACAAAAAAAGAATTTTCAAAATCGTTTCATAAATAACAAAAAATATATACGGTCGAATTGAGTACCTCCTCCTTTTTTTGAAGTCGGTTAAAAATTTAACTTTTTGAAAATGGTGTCGGTCCTTGCGCCAAACACGTAGCGTATTCTTTTTTGAGGCCTTTTTTACAATGATTATCATATTATTATGTCAATAAGTTAAATAAATAATGTTCTCATTATTATTATTACAATCCAACTATGTATTGTCATTATATTTGTCCCAGTAAATGCACACACAGAATTCACCCTAAATCCTATCTTCCAAGTATTCAGTTACCGAGTAGTACGTCCTGTCGCTAAGAAATTGACTTAGTTTTTTTTTATATAGGTATTTGTAAATCGTTTTCCTGTTTAATAGGTTTAGCAATTTTATTGTAAATTCTTGGATCCATAATTCCATACCTAGAAGACATTTACCACACAAAACTGTTTTATGTGGATGGATGCATATTTCGTGATCACCACGTTTAGATTTTAATGCCTCAAACAAATATAAGTTATTTTAACGAATTAAGCTACTTCGTAATTGTACATGCATGGGAAAGTTAGTATTTTGTTTTTGTTAAAGTAAGGTTTACAGCTATCTGTCTATTTCAATCTACATGGCTCGGATACACTTTTTTGGGCTTTAAATACAATAGGTTTCTCAGTAGAATTACCCCAGTATAGGTACATATAACTCCAAAACAGAGAACAGACGCTGCATTAGCAATATATGCTACCAATACAACTGTTTCACTCACTTTTTGGCAAGTTGTGGAGTGCAATGTGTTTGTTAATTCGTTTTGATACGATGTTTATATGGTATTTCCATGTTAATTGACTATCTAAAAAACCTACAAACTTAGCAGTATTTGTTTCATGTCACTGTTCCGTGTGTTCTGAAAGAATCTCATTAATTTTGTTTATTCCAAGTTAATTTTTAATCTATTTATTCTTAACCAGTCTATAAGTTTGCTAATCGAATTGTTTATTTCATCTTGATAGGCGTTTACATTTTTACAAGGTATTATTGTGTAAGTGGCTAAGTCCTGGTTGTAGAGTCAATGTGTGTCCAACCGGGTGCCACAAGCCTCTTGCCACTTTGATGGGAATTAGAAATTCGTGGCCTCTGGTCTGGCAGCGCCGGTGGCGGCGGCGGCGGGACCGCGGCGCTGAAACAGTAATGGAGGTACCCCGCGCGCTGTCGCGACGCCGACGACGGACAGTTTGTTTGGCCGGCGCCGACTTGCATAACTTATCGGATGCAGGTCAATGAACTATTCTAATTATAATAATATCATAAGACTGTTCGCCAACAATGCACTATAAAGTTTTGTTTGCAACTTTAACTTTATTATTTGAAAAGGATTAGGATGAGCCAATTATTGGTGTCCACAAATGTTGGTGAACTTGGGAAACTGGAACGGGTCGCGGAGCAGGGCACGCGTGGGGAAGCGCTGTGGGGGCGGGGTGCGGGGCGCGGGGCGGTCTCCCCGGAGATTTATGTGCTCATAAATACGGTGAGATGTCTGTGGAGCCGCTAACTCCGCTCGATACGAAGCCACTAATCCTGGACATCGTTAACGTACTCCGCAGTCAAGTGTTGTCAACATGCTACCTATGTTACCTACTAGTGTCGTACACACGACACTAGTATCTACTATCACTATCTACATAGTTCTACATCCGATATAGGTTAAAAGCGGCTGTTGTGCCCTTTATCTGATAATTAGGGCACAAACCGGCGAGCTGTCAACCTCATCAGGCCATTGAAAGTTATTCTTATTGAAATTGCCCAAACCGATGGGTTAGACGCAGGCGCAGTTGTCAGTGATTCAGTGGCTCTACCCTCAGAGGTCAGAGTCGCCAGTGTGGGCCTCCGTACGGGACTCGACGTATTCCTCGAATTATAATTTATTAGGTATAGTGAACTCATCTAATTCTGTGACTCGCCTAATAATTCGGTTTAGTAAATTTGGTAGAACTCTTAGGTTTCTAGAAAAAATCTGATTATTTGTGCTAATATTCCTCATAAAAGACTGATTAAAACTCATGCGGAGACTGAATTAAATTAATTAATAATTTATTGGTATTTTATTACTCAAATGCCTTTGTCACGAAGTTTGATGAGTTCACCCTACTTTGGTAGCTAATAAACGAAAGAAGTTAATCTTTTTTTTTTATAAAATACAGTTGCCTATTGATCATCTTAGTGTTGTATTGTTGTTGTGTGTGTGTTCCGCTGTTTTCATGGTTGTATCTACTGTAGATCCTGACTTACAGGAGTAGCAGCGGTTTCAGGAAGTTGTGGCGGGCTTGTCCATTTAAAAAGATGACGAACTTTGTGGCTCGAAAATATGTATAGAATTTATTTACTATTTTAAAACGAATGATATATCTCCCAGTATTAGTAACGCAATATTAATAAATGTTTATTGATTTATTGACAACTGATTAAACCTAAAATCACTTAGGTGAATCTAACTAGTTGGTTTTTATTTATTCATGTCTTTGTAGTTAGTTCGGGATTTTTTATCCAAAATCAAAAATGTTGCATATCTCAGAAAATAGGTACTTTGAGACCGGGGAGTTTAAAGCTAATTTTGTAGGAAATTGTGTTATCACGTCCCGAGAATACGTCGGACGACAAGTCACCCGACCACGCGTATACAAACATTGCATAATGTTGTAGGTACGTACGACTATAAATAGTCCACGCAAGGAACTGCTTGTGGTATCTAGGTGGATGTGTGGAGGCGTCCTTACATTCCGCGCGATGCGATGTACCGGAAGATACGGGGTGTTCTAACGTATGTACACTATGTACTGGTTATTTTCACACCACTGCGCACTAGCTCGAAGCCGAGCCATCCGTATGGATGTCGGCTGCGGATAACAAACTTTATTTACTTGCTTCCTCCAGGAATAATTTTATTGCAAAGTCTTAACTTGGCGGAATATCATGAGAGCAATATTATGATGAGGCCACGTCAGTGCTGTAATCATACTGTACCTATAGCTATCAATAATGTGTCAAGCCAAGTGCATTATGTTATGGGCCAAGTGATTAACGCGGGCAGTATGAATACTGCCCAGCCTTATCAGGCCGAGTCATTAAGTGGGCAGTATGAATACTGCCCAGCCTTATCAGGCCGAGTCATTAAGTGGGCAGTATGAATACTGTCCAGCCTTATCAGACCAAGTGATTGTAATCTAAACTTTTACGTATTTATCACATTACCC